GGCCATTTCTTATTTTTTATTAGTTAGCTTTTGCTAAGAATTTTGGCAAGAAGATGTTTTATTTTTGATGTTTTATGACTTACTTGACATCGGTAACCATTAGTACAAAATCTTTCAACTAACGAAACTTATGTAACAACTAGAACACACCACACCAACATCTGTTGTGTGATCGCAGCSCGGTACGCTTCCCCATCCATTAYGARTACAGCTCTGAAGGGAGGTCTCGGTTCCTGAACATTGCATATATTCCAACCATACTTTACCAGTCCCTCGTCCATACTGCCAATATCCTACAGTTTTGGTAAAACCAAGTTGTCCGCATGCAACCTTGGCATCAGGCATATCAAAGTAACTATGACATACTGTTCTCCAATGATTATTGCATAAAGCTGCAGTTCATAAGTATTGATGATGGTGTGGTATGTATAYATATATATAACTAATAATAATAATGCAGGACGCAGGTATAACTTTGACTAATTAAACAATCCTCATTAACTTAAAATTACTAGTTGCTGCGCAATCTTTATTGTCATTGTTACTGTATAATGGCCATTTCTTATTTTTAATTAGTTAACTTTTACTAAGATCTCTGTGCCTGAACACCGCATCCAGTACAGCCATACTTTACCCATCCCTCGTCCATAGCGCCAATGTCCTACAGTTTTGGTGAAAGCAAGTTGGCGACATGCARCCTTGGCATCTGGCATATCCCAATGATCATGAAACTCTGTTTCCCACTGACCCCTGTGGTGGACTTAAAAAAATAATTTCTTGTTTGAGATATAGGTCACGCTTACWATCCTAGGTGCTTGGATTGTATGTCATAAGAACGATTTTGTACTTCAATTTTAATCTATAAACCTCCTTTTTATTTCATATTGTACACTTTTTAAAAGATGTGGACTTTTATTACAAATTAGTGGGAATTAGTGTTTCATTGCATGTTTTGCATAATTAGATTTAAAGCTTCAGGAGTTGGARGTATGATACAAGTTTGTCACAATTAAATTATTGTTTTTATGCTTTACATACTAAACCAACAACCAAAGCACACAACACCAGCATCCCATTCGTGGCGGTTGCAACCAGAGTCAACGTTCCCCCATCCACTATGAGTACAGCTTCCAAGTGAGGACTCTGAGCCTGAACATCCCATGTTGAACAGCCATACTTTACCCGTCCCTCGTCCATAGTACCAGTATCCTACAGTTTTGGTAAAACTAAGTTGTCGACATGCAACCTTGGCATCTGGCATATCCCAGTAACCATAACGATCACAGACTGTTCCTCAATTCCCTTTACGTTATATCTTCTTAGCAAACGTTTCAGAGTCAGTTTAAGGGTAAACTTGTAACTTATTTTGATATMATCCAAGACATCACGTCCTCGGACCTGTCACAATTACCATTTCTCAAATTTATCAGGCTTGAACGTATGTTGAATAAAATTCAAACTTACTTTCCCAGTAAAGATGATATACTGTTCCCTATTGACCATAGTAATAAATTTCCATAAACTTATAACACAAGTAAAGTTATTGAAATATTTCAATTATTCCTCCAAAGCAATGTGTATAGTAGATTTTCTGAGAAAACTATTTTTATTGCGYTTTTTGTTTCCGAGCTATAAATTATCTTGTGCAAAGCATAGTTCCTACAATATTCAAATTTCAACATCTGGGAGTCTTGATATCCCCGTTTCTAAAATTTTTATTTTGAATCAGAGTTGCCCTCTGAGTGAAAATAGTTTTATCTAAAKTAGTACCACAAATACCACAAAGCTAGGACAATTTATAGCGAAATATTAATGCCAGATATGAAAAATAGTAGGACTTTTAAAAGCCTTCACAAATGCGGCATGGGGAACAGTGTGTCAAGATGGCTGGTACATGGAGGAAGCCAAGGTGGCATGTCGACAACTTGGTTTTACCAAAGCTCTAGGACCTTGGTGGTATGGACGAGGGACGGGAACAGTCTGGCTGGACGACATGGATTGCTCTGGGTCAGAGACCTCACTTCAGAGCTGTYCTCATCCTGGCTGGGGTGTYGCTGACTCTGACTGCMAAACTCACAAATATGACGCTGGTGGAGTRATTAAYTCTCTGATTTGTTYATCACKGAGTATTGTGATATGTGCAAGTTTATTTATCAAATCAAGCRTCACTCWKTTCCATGTTACATTGTAGTAAATAATTACCGACTGACTAAAGGATGGTCAGTACAGAACACGCCACACCATCATCTCCAGTGTGTCTTTATACATTATATTTTGTTTCCCAAGACTTTTTTCTGGTGGGCATCGTGTTCCAAAAAGGTTGGGTGCTACGAAAATGGACGAACAACAAACAACTCCAGCATCTTCAGTGTGACCATTGCAGTTAGAGCTAACAGTTCTCCAACCATTGTGAGAACAGCTTTGAAGTGAGGCCTCTGAACCTGAACATCCAATACCATCTAGCCAGACTGCTCCCGTCCCTCGTCCCTCGTACCAAYGTCCTACAGCTTTGGTGAAACCAAGTTGTCGACATGCAACCTGRGCATCYTCCATACCAAAGTAATCATCACAGACGGTTCCCCATTGACCATTGTGTARGACTTGTATCATACCTACATCTCGTAATGTTTAAATATAACTATGCAAAATATGTATGGAAATATGTTTACAAGAGCGGCCGGCGAAAAATGATGATAATGAGATTTCATAACAATTCATTTAACAGAACAAAGAAAAATTGATAAACCACTTTGTCCCCYTTTGTTTAATTCCGTATATTTTTTTTAATGACGTCTTTGCCATATGACTTAAAAGCAGCAAGCCATTGTTTGGAAGTACGCTTTCATTGTAACCCACAGAAATTTCTAATTTTGCCTACTATTAGTCTACATTATTATTGGTGTAATCATACTCTTTAAAATTGTTTTAGCACTCATGAATTTATATATTCAGGTAATATAAAACACTGGCTTGAATCAAGATCGGCGAAATACCTTTGTTAGTTAGTTTGTTTAGACATATTTTATTTCAAGATATAGTAGCAGATAGCACATTAACCATTCCTTATTTCTTCCTGTAACAAACCTTCTTTTTCCAAATGCTCCCAGCTATGAGAAGGGAACTAAAAAGCGAGGTCTTGGTCGCTCCTGAACATTGCATCCAATTCAGCCATRCTTTACCCGTCCCTTGTCCATAGACCCAAGATCCTAAAGTTAAAATGAAAAAGCCCATTGTATCATCTAACGCCTTTAGCACATTGTTTTCAAAGAACGTTCGTTTTGTATTTTTTTATCCACGAACGTTTTACACTCTCCGCCGAATTTTGTTTATTACTCTAAAGGCCATAAGGTTTGTAATATTTATCACACACATTTGTCTATAAGYTTTCGAGGCCAGTAATGCAACTGTTTATTTATGATGTACTTGTTAAGGAGCATCATCCTTTCTTATTGAGTGTCTACATCCTCACCACCATATATTTATTCATATTATCACAATAATWACTTCTTTGTACAGGTTTAGCAGATACTGGCAAAAGCCCGAGAAATTAAAAAAGCTTTTAAGTTGTTTGACTGCGCTATTTTGAAAGGTACAGGCATGTAGTGGGCATGTAGTAGAAACTCTAAGCAAAATCCAAGACGTTTTTTAGACATTGCTGGGAGCTTTAGTATATTGTGTTTTAGTAATGGCCAAACGTGATGTGTATCATAGTAACTGGGATATAGCAGATAAAAAAGATAGCCTGTCGACAAGTTAACTTTACAAAAGCTCTAGAAACTTAGTGAAATGGAAAGCTCTAGGACATTGATGGATTGGAAAAAGGATGTCAAGGATCAGAGGATTTCCTTGAGAGCTGTTCTCACCCTGCTTGGGGTGTTGTTGATTCTGGTCGCAAATATCACAGCTATGATGGACACCAAAGAGACACACCMTTCAAGTAAATATACGATTTTGTAATAAAGCTTCTCTGTTTGGTACATTAAAGTATATAAATACTGAATGAGTAACTGACGGAATGATGAACGGGCTTTACAGAACACACGACTCCAGCATCTTCAGTGTGAGTTCCTCCGCACCAATTACCAGTGCCCCATCCACTGCTAGAGCAGCTCTGAAGTGAGTTTTCTGTTCCTGAACAACCCATGTTTGTCAGCCATACTTTTCCCGTCCCTCGTCCATASTACCAAGGTCCTAAAGTTTTAGTAAAACCGAGTTGTCGACATGCAACCTTGGCTTCCTCCATACCAAAGTAATCATCACAGACTGTTCCCCATTGACCATTGTAATACACTTGTACAATACCTCCAACTTCTAAATCAAGGCTACTATAAAACACCAGCGTCATAATTGTGGATTTTGCAGAAAGAGTCAGCAACRCCCATCAACGGTTTCCCTTGTCCATATGCCGAAGCTCCTACAGCTTTAGTGAAACCAAGTTGTCGACATGCAATTTTGGCTTCCTCCATATGCAATACAATCGATACAATATACTTCTTTTCATTGCTCCCGAATTAAATAATCAAATAATTAATTTAAATAATTAATTTAAATAATTGATTTAAATAATTAAATAATTAATCAATTAAAATAATTGATAACAATTAAAAGAGTAATAAATATTCATAGAAATAGGTCATTGTTTTTTTCAAACTGCAAATACCATTGCCGTTAACTGCGGATACCAGTGCCCTTCAGCAAATCTGAGCCCGACAAGTTGTTTGTCAGAGGTAAACTTTGGCCTATTGGTCACAAACKTATTGTGTAAATAGTTAAAACTATATGAATCAATATAACTCCTTATTCTAATTAGCCATTTTAAACACGCTCCAATCAGCTTTGCCCTGTGCAAATATAAAAAATATGTATAAACAAAATGGTGGACTATTAAATTGCAAGCTACTAGTGATTAATTTCTCATAGTCCAAAGCTTTAGGCCATGTTACACTGTGAAATTTTCCCAGCAACTTCACAAGAGGTTATTACACAGGTTAATTGTCTCTCAATTTTTTGTTGCGAGCAGCTTTGCACGAAGTAGAACTCCGTTCCACTGTTTGCAACGGGTTGCAGCAATTGGCAACGCCATTTAACAGTGTATCACCCCTCCAACAATTTTTTTGCAATCTAAGGACATATTGTTTTATGAAGACCAAAACGCACAATTCTCATATCTTTCCGAGGAGCCATAATATGTTGCAATCTGCTGAGATCGCGTTGTATTGTAACACCTCAGCTCGGCAACTTGTTTTGCCACATTTTCCAACAATACAAGACAAGTTGCTGAGAAAATTGCACAGTTAAGGTTAACTTTGCACATGCGTACAATTGAGTCAGAATATTTATACTTA